TTACAGGTATCCTGAGACCGTCATAGCTAAGCTGGATGTCAAGACCCTCTGTTTGCATCAGCCTGGCAAGATCACTGTTTACTTTCTCATGGTCCATCAAATGCATCATTCCTGAAGACATCATTCAATACAACTTAATCATTGGCAAGACCAGACAAACTGTATAAACAATGAAATATGGGACATTAGCCTTGTAATGAAATCGGGTCAAATAATTATAAGCATCGATGTCTATAAACAAGAAAGGATATCACTTGAGCTTCTAATGCTTCAATGATGGGGAAAAGGGGGGGAATCATCGAATGCTAACAACAGTAAGTTCTCAACAGTGATGGTGATGGGCGTATATCTAGTCTTATCTTTCATTAGTATTGGGAAATAGTATCAAATAAGGGTAAAAGTTTCCAATATTCTCAAAATTAAATTATGAAGTTACGACTATCTCTATGTTCTTGCCGTGGCATAAATATAGCCACAAAGGGATTGTAGTTCAGTGGTTCATTGGTTCAACGCACCCAAGCAAAGGCAAACACATTTTCATGTTGCCGACTTATAAAATAATCATGCAAGCTTTTCTCTAGCAAACTAAGCAGTCCGTGAAAGAGTGAGCTTTGTACTCGTACAACCATTGGGAAACGAAATGCAAGAGTTAACAAATTTTAAAACAAAAGCATGTTTACGAGTGGTCAGTGAGTTCCTACCAGTAAAGAGTGTTTTCTTTGGTTTGATTTTCCTAATTTCCTCAAGGGCCTGCACAGTTTAAGGATACATCAAAAGGATTACAGTGAACAAGTTAGGATATGTTATAGTAGAGCTTTAGGACTAACCCTTGGTAGTCCAAAGTGTGTCGATGAAGAACGATCAGGTCTTAGAGCATCCTGTACAAAGTTATCCACCAAACTTAGATGCAATCAGACATTAATAGTTGAGAAAGATGCACAAGAAGTTAATAATAAGAAAAGCTTTAGAGCTTTGCCGTAAATCCAATAACTTTATGATGTAACAGTTAGAAGCAAATAATTGTTATATATGATACCATTATAAGAAGTTCACAGTTTTCCAGAAGCTTGTATGTTTCTTCAGGTATATCACTGACATCACTGCATCCATCACAGAAATTCAGACAAGAGACCTTACAGCAACACAGTACATTGTAGCAAAATTAACCTTGCACTGAACTTGGTCTACCTTATATAGCATACATCACCAAAACGAAAACCAAGAGAGCGGTAACCCTGACCGTGCCAAACAGGTAAAGGAATCACCTGAGATGAAGAAACCACAGCTTCAGAAAGTAATATGAAGCACTTCTATCTTTTAGATGATTATAGAAATATGGTTAGTATGCACCGATATAGAAGGAAAGGCAAATGAAGGGGCAGTTACTTTAAAGAACAAATGATAGTTTCTTGACAGGTCTACTAAAATTCACATGCTGGCAAGTATTGCCAGTTTGCTTCTGGCAGTCATTCTAACCCAAATCACTGAAAATAGAGCTCAAATTGCTCATTTACTAAAGCGAAATGCTTCAATACATGAATACAATCCATTCAAACAATTCCCTTACAGATAGGTATTTCATTTATAATTGAACAAGCACCCAAGTTTTTGAACCATTTCATCAGTTTGTTTGTGCCAATAAGTTCTATTACTTAAACATTCTCAATTAATTAATTGAACCTGTCACATGATAATTCACCAAAATAAGGCAATAAGCACAAGTTTATAACTGTGAATCCCAATCCCATACAGCATCCACTGAGTCAAGGAAGGTACTTTGCGATTATAAAACATAATGACACAGGTATGGGGCATTTGCTAGTTACAGCTTCCTATTACAAACCTCAAGATTGTGAACCATAAATGGTTCTTCTTTTATAATGTTGAATTGCAATGCTGAAACTGCTGCTCCAGGTATAACTACACTTGTGTCGATCAGGTAATAGTGGGTCATCTTCATCACCTGTCACAGAAAAACAAATAAATGAGCCAGTTTTTGTGATCAGGACAAAAACGAAAAGAAGACAATGATCTTTTTAACAGATATTTCACTTATCATTTGCTACTGTTTTAAAATGACCAGTCAATTGGCTAGACAGTTGTCTATGTAATCCGTAAAATTTGTCTTGTCTTCAATACAGTAACAGAGACCAAAAAGAGGGGAAAAAAATCCAACCTCATAATCACGCTCTGCCACATAAATTGGGATCGTTGACTGAACATTGTTCGTCCAATCACGAAGACAATCAAGCCCTGCACCGGAGACGTTATCTTCCTTTATCATTTTTATGAAAAAGACGAGATAAAAAGGACATGGATTGTTGTCCCAACTGATACCAACACCAGTGCTTTAAGTTAAACAGTTACAACATGACCAAAAAGTAGCAAAGGTTACAGACCTCCAATGGCATCAGCATGAGAATGGGTAATAATGACACCATCGATCGTCCTCAAACTGAAAAGTAGGAGTGAACACTTTGCATGACCAACTTTGCAACCAAACAAACTGTGAATATTGTATCAGATCAGATCAAAGACAGCACCCAAACGTGGGGAACCACTGGAGAGCCGAGTGGTAGAAGAACCTGAGAAGAATAAACAAACCATAAGCTAGTTATTCGGATCAGAGAAAAAATGAAGCAAAGCAAGTTGTAGGGCTCATTGATAGCACATACTTGCCGGCATCAACGACGATGTTGGTGGTGCCAGACGCGGTGACGTGGCGCAGAAGGATAGAGGTGTTGCGCCTCCTGTTTGGATTCCCCGGCTCAGCCGCCTTGGTACAAACCTGCATGCAGGACAAGACAAAGCAAGCTACAATGAGCAACAAAAAGGCAGCATAGACGATGCAATGTTGTTGGGCAATATAGAGAGATGGTGAATGAGGCAAATGGCATACGGGGCAAGTCTTGGTGGGGTGGGTGAGGCAGCTGACGCGCGGGATGCCCTCACTGGTGCCCGTGCCGAGGAAGATGAGCTCGGACTTCAGCCGCTGGTCCTCCTCCGACGTCGAGGAGCCAGAAACGGTGCCTCCACCGGAAGACGAACGTGCGACGCTGCTGTAGAAGGAGCGCGCTGGAAGAGAAACAAGCAAGCAAACAAGAGGGAGGCGTTACGTCGAGCAGCTGATACGCAGCCGCGCGGGCCGTAAGTTTTCGTACAGCTTGGCGCGCTTGCCGCACCGGATCGGAGGCGCGGGTGGAGGGCAAGCCGCGGGGAGGACGTGGACGAGGAGGGAGCGAAGCGCGTCGCGGCCGCGGTGGCGAGGCCGGGGAACGCGTGCGCGATGCGCGACGCCGGCGGCGCCATGTGCGGGGCCTGCGCTCGCAGGAACGCCGCAGCGATCGCGCCCGTAGCGGCGCGGGGAATCATCGTCGCCGCCGGCGGTGGCGGTAGCGGCAGCAGCAGCGGCCGATTCAGTGGCGGAGGCGGAGGCGGGTGCGGGTCCCTGACCAGCGTCCGCTTGTCGCGGGGCGGGGAGGGACGCTGGCATGTGGACCCGGGGTGCCCGTGCGCGTCTGGTGGCAGAGAAAGGTCCAAAAGGTTTTGTGTACTGTGCTCGGAAAAGCGTACGTCAACTGACAGGTGGGCCGAATATCATCCGGTCCCGCATGTCGGTGAAAGGGCCTTGACATTGTGACCCACTATCTACTGGGCTCTGGACTCGATTGGGCCGGGCCGACGAATATACCCATCGTTTCCCTTTGCCCAAAGCCCCCCAAACGTGCGGTGTCTCTCGATCCTGCATCTCTGCACCTCCCCGGAGACAATCGACTTCGCCGGCTTGCCCCGCCGGCGACGACAGGCAAGTGCGCCACGCTCCTCTCTCTCTCTCTCTCTCTCTCCTCTCTCTCTCTCTCTCAATTTTTCTGTTAGACGTGAAGACCAACTTGAGACATGGTGTTCGCTTGATCTTGGCACAGTGTAGGTCGTAGGAATGATCGATTCTTAGCAGCGCTCATGCTTCAATTCACGACATAGAGAAAGGAAAAAACTCTTGACTATTGGATGGATGAATAGTATTCGGCGTCCGTAACCGAACATCAATTTATGTTACTAATATGGCGGGGCTCCCAGATTCACTGAAAAAAATCATTTGTCTCGGGACTCGCTTAAAAAACTAGATCCTAATATGAGCACCCTTGCTGATTCTGAAATATCCAACCAGAGCACTGGTTTCTTCCCTATGCAATCTGTTGTGGCGACGCGAGGTACTCATTAAGGGCCTCTTTGGCACGGCTTATGCCGTCTTCGGCTTCATCTATTTTGCGCAAATCGAGGCACTGTAGCGTGAAGCCGTTTTGTAAGCTGGGGTTAAAATTAACTAGAAGCCGGGAAAAGCCATTTTTTTTTGTTTCACCGGCTTTGGCTTCACCGGTGAAGCCGTTTTGGATGAGCCGTGTCAAAGGGGCTTAAATGATGTCAGTTTTATGCATCTTTGCTACTGGTTTGGTGGCTTATTACTACCAAAAAAAAATACTTCCTCTGATTCAAAATAGATATCATTTTAGGATTCCTTCTGGTCAGTTCTTTTTTAACTTTGACACCAATATACACCATATGAGAATTGTGTACATTGACAATGTATATAGATAGTACTACATTCATCACGAAAAAGTACTTATATTATTTAATTATCTTTATTTTAAATGCTAGGTTTTTAATAGAAATTTTTAGTCTAAGTATCACTTTGTAGAACATGCTGATGTCCTAAACGTCATGTATTTTGAATCAGAGGTAGTAGTGTGTCTTGCTCAGAACTCTCAATTTACTGTTAGGTGGGTGGTTAATCCTTGTAGTGTAAGCTGGCCATCACCATTTTCTTCTGTTGCAATGAACCGTGCGAAGAGTTAAATGTTTGCACTGTGGTTTATATGTGCCCCTTCTTCAAGTGAAGGTCACAATTTTTGACTTGTTTTTCCTTATGCGTGGGAGTTCTTTCATTTTCAGGCACAGTGGAGCACGGAGGAGGAAGTACACTGCTGTGAATGGGAAATGCCATGAACAAAGACAAAGTTCATGATAAGGAAACTCACGGAACAAGTAGCGATATAACTGAGAAGACGTCTGTGGAAAAGGTGAAGGGTCCAGATCTGCTTGAGCGAGCAAAGGAAGAGATCGAGGCTCTTGCTGGAGCTGTTCATACTAAGATGGAGCATCATTCCAGTCCTCATGAGAAGAAGGAAGGTAAAATTATCTAGAATGATGTTACTTCACCTTTGCTACCCTGTATATTAAATATGAAAAGGAATGGAGAGCGAGAATCTGGAGGATAAGAAGAAAGAAATGATCTTAATGGTGCCTTGAATCAACTCGCATCTTTGCACTTTTTATAGTGGTTTTTATAGTATAATCTTTTACCCTGCGTATTGTTCATCTTTACCAACTGAAGCTAAAATACAACTTTAGCTACTTACCAATAGAATGTGTCATCCTTCATACCAAAGACATTGGATGTAATTCACCAAAAAACCATTCAGCCCATATACTATAGCTTCACCTTGTCATTTATCGACGTCATTTGCAAACTATAATGTGATTCATGATGAGAGCCATTAATTTTACAGTAAAACAACTGCAAATGTGAAAGTTCGGGTTGCTTCTCCTTTTAAGAGCATGTGCTGTCCCTTTGTTTGTATTAATGAAAAAACATGTCTTGTGCATTTGTCTTAATTCTCTCACCGTTTTTGGGAAAGAGTAGGTTTGTTCTACATTTTTCCCCTGAAAGATCACAAAAGTATGACCGAGAACATTAGCATGCAGACATTTTCAGACTTGCAGAAAGGACTTCTGAGCATATTGAGTTCATAATGGTTGTCATTGCCCAAGAATTAAAATTTACTGATGCTTAATCATAGAATTTTGTGTATATCCTTTCAAGTATAGAAATACTCTTAGCTCTACTAAAGTACTGCTTTTTAGATGCTATTTGAAAAACAGGAACAGGGTTCAATGGTTGTTTAGAACCTTATAGAACATCTTAATTCCAAGTTTGTAATGCTATTTTCATGCTTGGTGGTGATTTTGAATCAATATTACTAACACCACATCAATTGAGAGCTTTATCCTCAGTACGATGCGGATCTGAAATCTGAATACATGCAGAATCACATAAGGAAGACAAGGAGGGGAGCCTGCACAAAATAAAAACCCACACGAATGAAACTCACGGAACAAGTGCTGACATAAATGAGAACACACCAGTCGACAAAGTCAAAGGCCCGAATGTGTTTGAGCGTGCCAAGGAAGAGATTGAAGCTATTGTCGAAGCTATCCATCCGAAGAGTGGATCAGACAGTAAGTGAAGACTGAGACCTCTGGGGCTGTTTTGCCTTAACTGGCTGCAGAAGCTAACATGAGGTCATGAGCTACCAGATAGGCACATCCTTTCAAAGATGTCCACCCAGGTGGTGTTTTGTATAAGCGTTCTGGAGCTGTAAAAGCTAAGAGCTGACTTGTTTGTATGCTACAATGTTTTCCGTTGTGCCGTTGTGGTTTGTTTGACCAGAGGTGTGTAGAAATACTCAACGTGGAATTGTGATGCTTAAATTGTTGTGCTTGACATAGCATATCTTGTTTTGGCAACTCACTATGTTCCGGAAGTTGTAATAAGGCCAGTCTCAATGGGATTTCATCAGAGTTTCATGGATATTAAATATGCTGATGTGGCGCAGAGAGAGTTTTATGGGGATGAAACTCTTTTGCATTGTTTGCAAAATAGGATGTGTTGGAAATTGGGACATGAAACCCTCATTGAGACTGGTCTAAGAAGAGTAATCATGAAATAGAGCGTAAATCTATTAATTCTTTTTTTTTTAGTGGAAGCCCATTACTAGGTTGTGGTTCTCTAAGAGATCAATGCTTATAGTTTGAGGGAACTACAAAATTGCCAGTGCTTTGAACCATTATTGCAAGTTTGTTATTAAGAAAAACTGCAAATTGTTTCATGTTTTATCGAGCTAAACCAAATTTTTTATGAGTGTTCTAAAATTAGACTAGATTTTAGAATAATCTTAAATTGCATAACTCCTAACAGGGGATGCTTTTTCAATTAAATCATTTTTATAAAGTCTATTTGTTCACTAAACTTTCAACATAATCTGAAAAAAAAACATCTGCAGTTTAAATGTGGGCCAGAAGCGAGCAGAATTCTGGTTGAAACAAGCCCAGCCCAAGCCGCCGTCGCTTTCACCTCCCCGTCGGGATTTTCCCCGACTCCCTTCGCTTCCGAAGCAACAGCGCTGCGCGCAGAGCAAGGCGGCCATGGCAACGGCGGCGGCGCTATCTCATCCGGCATCAATGGACGCGCGCGGGTGGGATGAGGCATCCTACCGCCGCGGCATCCTCCGTGCCCGCGACCTCTCGTCCCGCACCCTCTTCCGTGCCGTGTTCTTCGAAAACAGCGACGACCCGGACCCTGACGTCCTACTCGCCGCCGCCTCCAGCGACGGCTCCCTCTCCTCATTCTCACTTTCATCCTGCATCTCCGCTGTCTCCGCTGCCTCCCAGGTTCGTACCCTTTGGCAAAAGCTCATTTTTGGGGGACTCACGGCCAGAGAGGAGGCGTAGGCGTGAGTTTTTCTTGGTCTTGTTCGCAGGTGGAGACCGCTGCCGCTCTGGTCGACCCCGTCTGCATCGTGCAGGCGCACAGAGGCCCCGCCTACGACGTCAGGTTCTACCCCGATCCGCAGCAGCCGCTGCTCTTCAGGTGACTGACCGAATGTTTGACTTCTGCTGTTTCGCCTCTCCATGGCAATGTTATTCATTTGGTCGGAGACGGTGATGGGTTAACGGTGATGTGGTTCTTTGGTTGCTTACTTCCTTGTGGCAGCTGTGGGGACGACGGCCGCATCAGGGGCTGGAGGTGGCATGAGATGCAGAGCTGCCTTGTCCCGCTCTCCCTGCAAGGTGCTGCATTCAAACTTCCATTCTTTTCTGACGTTTTTTCTTTCATGAGTGGGCATATGCTTTACCAAGCCACTAGGGCATTGCTACAGCACAGGTGCTCAAAAAAAGGCGCACATTTTTTACAAAGGTGTAGGTTTGATGTAAATTTCGCCTTCACAGTGGAATTGTTCCAGGAGGCAAATAAAATCTAGAATCTTGCCAGTGCAGAGCATGATTCATTTGAAAACGTTTCATAGCTGCTACTCATTTTATCTATAAAATGCAGCCATATCTTTTATTGTCTTTTTTGTGAGTGTTGCGCCTTGAAGGCTTGAACCAGCACACAAGTTGATAACCTTTCAATTTTGAATCAATACAATATAGTTGTGTTGATACAAGGAGAAAGGGGAAAAAGAAACAAGCATCTCTGTGGAATTGCGCCTAAAATGGCATAGCGTATCTTCTACATTTCAGTTATTTTTATTGCTTCTACCAATTTTTATGTTACCTTTTTTTCACAGGGGATCATCTCGAACCAGCACTTGACTTGGTCAACCCTCAGCACGAGTAAGATTCTATGATAAGACTGCACATCTCATAGACCTTCCAGTTTACACCGTTTATTCTAACAGCTGTACCATCCCATGAATCTACCCTGTTTCAATTGTTGCTGCTGGCAATTTTGTAGGGGTCCTTGGGGTGCTCGGTCTCCAATACCTGAAAATAATGCCATTGCAATTAATAAACAGGTTAACGACTGAAACTTTTCATGTTTTTACATCCTCCAATAAGTGTGACGGTCCCAGATGTCCACTCATGCATATTGCTTGGTTCAGCATATCTTATTTGCTGGTATCCTTGTCCTTCCAAACAGGATGGATCCATTTTGGCAGCAGCGGGGGATGCATGTGCTTACTGCTGGGATGTGGTATGTATTTTCTTAAGGTAAATGCTACCTATAGGAGTCTTGAACACACATAGAAGGAACTGCACTTCTGCTTTAGAGTCTTTATAAGCTTGGATAATGTTATGGTGAAATGTCTATCGCCGTCGCGCCAAGACAAGTGGCTGAAGGGTGGGCCGCAGCGAGGAACGCCAGAGCGCGGTCACCATTCAGTTCGCGTCAACCGCGTCACCAGGAAGTTCGCGTCTCCGTTTCACTATCCGAACAATTAGGAATGCTAGTTAGTTCGTTTTGTTATCCCTTAAAGTTAGCTAATGAGTTAGGATTTTCATATAAGCATGGAACAGTTTGTTAATGAGAAGGTTAGCCAGAGATTGAGATTAATCTCTCTCGCTCCCTGGCGTTCTAGCTCGCATTCTCGCTCTCTCTCATGCATTCCAGCCCTAGCTTCGGCGCCGAGCACGGCGCCGCCAGTTCGCCACCGGGCGTTCAAGCATCGCCCCTCGACCTCCCACTCATATCACCTATGCAGTAACCCAAGCTCCAACAGATAACAGCAGTGTTTTGCTTGAGGAGGTATCTGAAACTAGTGCTGATCATGGCTGCTTCTCTCAGGAGACTGGTAAATGTAAAATCAAATTCAAGGGGCATGCTGATTATTTGCACAGCGTTGCAGTTCGTGAGTCAAACCACCAGGTTATTTGATTATGTTGGTTTTCCATTATTTGATGTTTATCTTGCCTATATTATGTACCATATGTGATATGGTTACTAACTGATTTATTTTTGGTCAGGTTATAACAGGATCAGAGGATGGGACAGCTCGTATCTGGGGTGAGTGATGGTTTCAAATCCATCATTTTTTTTCTTGTCATGTGCATCACGTGTAGCTTGATTTTCTTCCTTTATCTGAATTGTATAACAGAAATTTGCAAATTCAGCACAATGTTAAGAAGTTTACCTGTTTATTCTGTACAAAAGAAAAACATGAACATGCTCTAGCAGCCTCTGTTCTACTGACTATTTGTTAGTTTCTTTTTTTTTCTTTCCTGCACATAAGATCTTGTTTACCCATTTTAGTTAAATATTTAAACTGTTTATTGCCATTTAAAGCTACAAGTGCCTGAATTTTTGTGTCCATGCTTGTTCTTGCTGTTTTTGCACATTGCAGATTGCAGAAGTGGGAAGTGCACGCAGGTTATACATCCAGTAAAGAGCAAGGCATTTGATAGTTCTTGGGTCAGCTGTGTTGCCATTGATGCAAGTGAAAGTTGGCTGGTATAACTTCATGTCTTTAGACGTTTTTAAATGCTTTAAACTTGTACATCAAGTATCTTGTTACTTATAACCAGTTTGCTTTCCTTATATTCTGTTCAATATATATATATATATATATATATATATATATATATATATATATATATATATAGAACTACTACCCTGTAGCTGGCTACAAAATAACTTATTCTGTAGGTACTTTGAGTTACGATAATTACTATGTTAATTTACGAGATTATAGTAACTCCTTACTAAGTGGTTTACTATAAAGTTATGGTAAATATCTCCATGTGTTATAGGAATCCAACTATCGTAAATACGTATTGACATTATCGTAAATTAGTATATAAAATTATCGTAAATAGAGGTGGCTACAGAATAACTTATTTTGTAGCCGGCTACTGAATATACTCTCCCTATATATATATATATATATATATATATATATATATATATATATATTTTTTAATCCTCACATCATCTTCAGGCCTGTGGCACGTCTAGTGGTATATCAGTTTGGAGCCTTCTCTCAAATGAGTGCATCTTTAATTTGGACTGTCATGCTCCTGTTCAAGATTTATTGTTTGACAAGAATCAAGTGAGTACTTGTCCCTCCATCTCTTACATCCTATCTAAACTAGCATCCAATAAACATATTTAGATATATCATTTTGGCATTTGTGTTACCAAGCTTAAAGGCTGTAGCGAGTTGCTGATCCAAATATTTGATCACTCAAGTTATTTCCATGATCTCATTTGGTTAAGGTGTATATTCAATAATTCTTTAGTGTCCTTTTCCAAGCTTCCATTAACTATTTGATAGCAGATCTAATTAGGTCTATGAATTTCTAAATCTGTGCAGATCAGGAAATTAATAGTTCATGTCCTTAAGAAAAAAGGCTATATGTTTGTGCGGGAAAAATGCAAACAAAATAGAGGTTATTCATAGTATGATTTAGCATGCAGCTTGCCACCTTTTGAAGCTTTGCAGTTTTGCTTCATAAGACAACACAATGGGAACAAGAGTTGACTCTTTCATCTTTCATATGGAAAGTAGGATTTAAGTTGTACTCCCTCCGCACAAAAGAATGCAATTCTAGCATAGTAATGTGTTAAAGTATCTTGAATCTTGAGTTTGACTACCTATAAATAAAAAATATTAATATTTGTAATATCAAATAAATACCTATATTTGCCATGAGATATATTTTCATACTTATTTGGTGTCATAAACATTAATATTTGGTCAAACTTTAAACACATTAACCAAGAATGCGCCTAGAATTGCATTCTTTCTTGGGCTGTAGTAACACTATAGCTGAACAAGCCCTTATTCTTCATAAGAAGAACATGGTTTTTGAATGTTCTCATTTACTTGAGTAGTTGAGGTTTATAGCATCCATTATTACTCAACCTTGTTATATACAAAAAACATACTAACTGGACCTTCGTTTCCCCTTTTCATTTCATTTGCATCCCTTCAGATTTTAGCAGTTGGTGCTGAACCTGTGCTCTCCCGTCTCACAATAAACGGGACAGTCCTTTCACAAATAAAATGTGCTCCTCAGTCGGCGTTTTCTGTCTCCATGCATTCATCTGGGGTATGTGCCTATCTTCTTGCTGCTCCTCATTTGATTTTACTTCTTGGTTGTGTTCCCCCCTAATTCTGGTTCTATGCAATCTGTTTGTCGTTCAGATGGCAACTGTTGCTGGATACGGAGGTCTGGTGGATGTGATCTCAGAAGTTGGGAGCCATCTGTGCACATTCCGTAGCTGGGGCCTAGACAAGTAAATGACCCATGAGCTCCCTCTGAACAGCGCGGAGAAAAGATCACATTGAGTCTTGCTACGCAATGTAAGAGTTGTATCTTTTTGCGCTGCAGTTGCACATGTTTCATGCAATGTTGCAGCTGACAATGCTCTACTGACCAAGATAGCTAGACGGTAAAAACATTTGCTACTAGTTCGAGCTAAACAAAGTTCTGTTGTGATTCTCACTCGTCTACAAACGGGTCCAAATACACCTGCTGCATTCCCTCTTTTAAATGTATTGAAATTTCGGAACATTGAAAAAAAAACAATCGGTATAGGCTTCCATGACCGGTCTGAATCTTCAGCAGTATGGGTCTGGGTGCCAGTTTCCTGTACAAAACCAAGGAGACATAATCCCCTATATAGTCTAGAATAAGAGAACACAAAAACTGAATCCACAGAATGATAAATAGAGACTCGGTCCATAACCACTAGGAGAAAACAAGACATGCAAATACGTTCAACACACATTACACGGATTAACACAATTTCTGCTACATTAAGGAAATAAAAGCTACAGATTTACAGTACTAGCACATACGTTGTTGAAGTCGGCTGATTTCATCTTCCACCAGACCACCACTGACCCCTATGTACAGCACACAGATAAGCATCGCATCCACATCCACATCCACATCCACACCCACACTACCAACCTAGGTATCCAGTTTCTGGCAGTATGTACACCAGATCCTATATATACAGGAACCAACATAAGGTATAAAGCTATCATCACCAAATCAACAGACTACCATGGAAGAATTCTAAAAATCTGCCCTTTTTCACGCTCCATGAAGCACACGCTTGGTGGCTGGAGCTTACCTATTGCCATTCAATTTAGTGTGCACAGGAGGCATTTATCCTGTCACCTTTACGGTCATCGAAGACAATGGAACTTCCAGCTAGGGCAGTAGCCACCCAAGAGTCCAGCCAAGAAGCAATCCAGCACCAACAAGACCAACACCAACAGCAAATGCAACGGCATTGCGGAGGCCACCTTTCCTGTTTGGCCTTCTGCCTTTCTTCCTACTCCCTTCATTGTGCTCTTGAGAAGGTGCTACCTTTTCCTTCACCACCATCCATGGAAACTCCGGGAACATGGTTGCTATCTGGTGTTCTTTGAACCTGAGCTGAAGGCATATGTTTTCCAGCTGCAAAATTTTCAACCACTGCTTGCATGCAAAGAGGTGTGAGGCCTGGCGGAACAATAGCTTGATGACATGATCTTTCTCGTCATAGGCTTTCTTGGCAGCTATCTCAGCTTCCCTAGCACGTGTTTGCGAGTGACGGAGAGCGTCTAGTAGCTTGGCCCTCTCAGAAGCATTCTGATATGTTGGCTTGCTGCCTGGTGTATTGGTGGTGGAACTATAAGAATCCTGTGCATCCCTGCAGAATATGATAATATTTAATGCATGGCAGGGACCAGGAACGAGTCATGGACAAATAGAAGACGACTAAAGCTTTCCAGGGAGATGCATCCGAAGGATACCACCTACTATCTGGTCATATGACTGATGCACAGATTAGTTCAGACAATCACACGTAACTTTTAATTGAAAAGAAGTAAATACTGAATTGGACCTTGTATTTAAATAGACAGGAGGGAACATGAGGATATCACCATAGAAACAAACTAGAACTCGTAAAACAAGGAAACTATGCTATTAGTATCTCTTAAATTCAGTACATGGAAACTATGCTTCATCTAAGTTTTTCCATCAGTGAGGAGACTTGCATAAAACAGGGAAAAGCCAGTGGAAACCACACAAGGAAGACACATCATTGTAGTTTTGGACTTGTGGTTATTTGACTGATTGTGAAAGAAGGTAACTTACCTGGGCACATTATTTCTTTGATGCTGTTGCCAACGTCCCCCATCAGAAGAATTCGTTTCATTGGTGGTGCTTGAAACACTGTAGCTGCACTCCATAGTGTCATGTACAGGATCTGGCTCTTTGCCCATGGAAAGAGCAGGCAGGCCATAGTCATCCTTGTTTTCAGGGCCCTTCACTTTAGGTCCATGAACCCGGACTGTCTGAGTGGGTCTTGGCAGATCATTGTTGGCAATGTTTTCCATTGCTCTTTCAGCGACAAGGGAAGCCAAACCATCGACATCAGCTACTTGCCACCATGGCTGAGATTTCTTGGTTTGTTCCCAAGGGGCATGCATTTCGCAGTGTTCCTTTTGCGGCTTCTTAGGAAACAGAGGATCAAAAGCTTTGAACTCTGTAGACTCTTTATCCTCGTAAATACAGTTGTTGGCATTTCCTTTGCACTTGAGGCTCACTGGGGTATAGGAAGCAAGATTCCTCAACTCTTCCAAACCCGTCTCAGGTGTTTGCTTCATGGAAGCCATCGAAACGATCCACGGAGGCTCAAAAGGATCTGCAGCCTTGTTTCCTTGGACATCCTCAAGTTTGGATACCGGCGCTAAACCCTCCATTTTCTTCTCTGTGGCTTCCCCACCTACATAGTTGAGGTGCTCCATAGCTAGGGCTGTCTGGCACCCAAAGTTGGGCTGCAATTGGAGCCACCACTGGGTTTCCATGGGCAGACTGGAGTTCATCAGGTTCCAGTTGATGGGCATAAACGTAGGGGAATGGAGATCTTGCGGACTCGGAGGACTTCCATCGCTGGTGTCGTGCGGTTGCAGGTTCGGCGGGCAGCAGGCCAGCTTGGGAGCTCGTTTGGCATCCTCCTGGACCAGGCAGCGGTTGGCGGCGCGTTGCCAGGCAGCCCTTGCTTCTGCGGCTGCCATCACTCTCACACGCTACAGACCTGCGCGTCACAAAATCATTTGGCATCGGATTAGCAGGCACTTACTTCTTCCCCCAACGAGGACAGGGACAAACAAAGAATTGCAGGAAACTGGGGTCACAGCACAAGATGCACTATATATAACAAATGAAATGAAATGTTGAAAGTATTATTATTAAGTGGACCTATCAGTCTATCCATCAATGATTGCTTAGCATTGAAGGAGTGAAGATGGTACAAGGAAGTTAGATACCCACAATCCACAAGTAGACGACAAGTGTCTTGTCTAAAAAGATGCAAGCAACGTTGAAGTACACGGTAGATCAAGAAGAAAGGCCAATTTCAGTGTGGGAACTTCCAGAACGATAGGAGGAAACTAAAAAAAACATGGATTGCGCGGTTCCTCAACGGGCTCCGGGGGGTGAGGGCACTAGGGCAGCAAGCAGGGCGGATCTGCCCCCAAATCGGACGCTATACTGATACACACACGTCAGAGTTCATTCATTTTCAGTAACACGACGATTTCAGCTGCAGATCAGATCGTCCGATCGATCCGACAGGTGAAGGATGCGACAACACCAAGGGCAAAGGGGGTTCATCAACATCGCACGAAAGGAGAAAGTAGTAATCAGGCGCCTCACCTGGAAACCTGGGCCACGACCCGACTCCACGAGCAAGAACCGCGCGCGGGCAAGGGGCAAGGATGCCTACTGGTGGGTGGCGAAGAGGAGGTCCCGGGCACGTGAGGCTTGTGCCGCGCGGCGCTGGTTGTTGCCGCCCTCGCTGCCCCGGATCATGAGCGCTGACTGAATCTAGCCGCGCGTATGCGTATCCCGCCGCACCGCAGCGAGCGAGATGGGAAAGAGGAGTAAAGAGGAGGAGGGAGGGAGGGGGGATCTTTCTCCTCCGGAACGGCCCTCGCCCGCTCTCCGGATAACGACGTGGAGGGAGAGAGGGTTGAAGTGGCGCCAGAAGAAACCGCCAAGTAAAATGATATTTCTTGCCCCGGCCCGCAATCCTTTTCGTCTCGTCGGATAATAAATGCTAGTATACTACTCCCGGCGAAGGCGAAGACATGAACTGGGGGAAGCAAGGAGCAAAATAAACCGTGCCGTCTCGTGTGAGCATTCCTGAATCCGACTTGCGACTTTCGAGAGCAGCGAGTCTCTTTCGGCGGAAATCTGGGAGAACCTATCCGTTCGCTCTTCGGTGCTCTGCTCCCTCTCCCTCTCCCTCTCCCTCTCCCTCAGGTTTGCTGACACGCTCTGTGACGGTGTGGTGTGGAGACCTGGGGTGGGGGCAGGTGTCCCATCGGCCGTCGGTCATGCGGCCACACCGTCTCAGCTCCCACACGGCCGCACCGAGCCATGACGCTGTGCGTGCGCCACGACCACCCAAAACGAAAAAGTGAGATCGGGGCATGGGAAAATAAATAAAGAGAAGAAGAACACTCCCCCTTTCCACAATGCTTGGTTTGATTTTGACCAATTCTTTTAGTAAAAATCTATCTCATGAAAAATTTAACAATCGTCTAAAAAAAGACACGCATTACGTTTTTTCTTAAAAGTTTGGCCAATTCTATGAAAAATAATAATACTTATAACACCTAAAAGTATTGTATCAGATCGACAGTAATATTTTTATAATAAGCATATTTAAAGATAAAAATATTTATGTTATTTTCTATAGATCTAGTTTAGTTTCTAGGATTAGGAGATGCGTATTTATTGCGACTGAGGAAGTAGATTGATCTTGTAGGTATCCAGTAGATTTCTATTAAAAATTTAATAAAAATTAAAAAAGTTTGATTTAGAACAAATTTAGACCATCAGCAACGCTCTAATTGACCGGAGCTTCTCCTAAAAGAAACCTGATGGAATAACTTCACACTGAAGCGAGCAACGACGTGTATCACACTCGTGTCAAGCAAATTAAAGGGCCAAACAGCAAAAGCGACCATTCAGTTCTCAGCTGGGTTACAAAGGGGAAAAGGGGGAGAAAAAAGAGCTGCAACCGCGCGCAAGAGGCCTGAGCACCCACGCACGCACTTCGCCCGCCTAATAACTCCCAGTTTCTTCACAAAACCGCTGCCTTTTGCTGAATTCTGCCCACGGATCATCACCAAAGCGAAATCCTGGATGATGAAAAGCAAAAGCCCCTAACTCGTTAGATTTCCGCAGATCCTCAGAGACCGTAGGTTACATGAGCAAAGAAAAAACTATAGGAACTGCCACTGTTTGGACACGTAGATATTTTCTTTGTCGGTCCACAGGAAATGATGAACGGTTTCAGAACATAATAGTACAGTAGTATTTCCCATACAAATACAAACTTCTCCACGCATAGTCCTTGACTCTGGAGACAAGTGGACAAAGGAATCATTGTCGTGCGTGAGCTACGTGCTCACTTCTGCCTTCCTATTCGAGACATAGCTACGCATACAAGTCATCAGCCAGTAGTCGTCTAAGGTGACAGTTGCCGACCCACTACATGGACACTTTCGAATCCTTTTCACCATCACGTGATGAAAAGAGGGGGCATGGCTTTTAGTCTAGTCTTGAACCGTGAAACAATTGTTTCCATTTTTAACATACATAGACCCAAACAAGTGTCCATTTTTAACACTACATGGACACTTTCGAATCCTTTTCACCATCACGTGATGGCAAGTTGTAACCCCTACATCATATTTGGTTCATGTCATAAACATACCATTGCCTCCACTCAATTTGAACTGTGGCAGCCGGAAACTCAATTCATGATACCATGTCACATGAAAAATGCCACAAGTTTTATATAAGGAATTCCCAGTGGCACTAATCTAGCTGCACATTACTACATTAGTTTATGGTGAGAATGTGAAATAAAGACAACTAACAAATCGGCATAAGATTGGGGGCGAACGAGACAACAATTCAACTCGTGTATTGTTACGGATCATAGGGCTTCCAACGAAATACACACATTTCAAAACAAGAAATAAGAGGAACTAAATTCATGCTTAACTATATGAAAGTCATACCGCAAATAACCCATGTTATGCTACATAATGTAATGTTGAATATAAGATAGGGACATACGCCCATATACCTTCTGGTTAGAAGCCAAGATCGAACGAAGGGCAATCATCTATTAATTCCTGAATCTTGGGGTCTTTACATGTCAGGGTGTAAGCAGATGTAGATGAGGGACCATCAAATATCCCATCCGTTGAACTGTTCTGTGTGGTTATCTGCAAATGCGAATCAACTAACTAGCATAGTACGTCGTAAAAAAAAAGGCATAGTAGCCAATTTGTATTCCTTCAATCACAAAATGAAGGTCCTTGTGCAGGTATGTGAAGTCTGATTTTGAAATTATAACCTTTAATTAATATTAGGTAAAGCTATCTAGATCGACCCAAGTAAAACAATACCATTAGCTGCCTTGAAAAGCGCTATCACAAATTAAAGTCGTGTGTTAAAACAATTACGAAACATTGTGTTCAACACTGAGAGGTCAAAATCCTATATCTAGTACTTCAGTGCTCAGATCTCATGAGAAAAAACCTGCTGGCAAGAAAGAAACTGTGTATGTGCCTCTGCGGGCAGCCAATAAAAGACGAACCTATGACTTCCTGCACGTAACACGGTTATATCACAAATGTAACATTGCATGTTCCACAGGGAAAATGCATACCTGGTCTGCTGTTCCACTTCTGCCATCTTGAAATCCTGTGTCCGTCACAATGTTCATAACTGGCACATTATCTGTAAAATACAAACCAACATAAGCAGCATTTATTATTTCATCTATGTTCTATGGCAATCAAGCTTTGCAAATTACAAATGTACAAAGTAGTACCACTAGAACTTCCAGAGTGCTGATTGCTTGAATCTAGTTTCTGTCCTTTTGCATTGGACAGTTAGATGCTAAGGTATCTACCATGGCCAAATCCTGACCCTCAAAAGCAGCTGGTCTCCTATTAAATATCGTTAAAAGTAAATATTTATCAGCTATTCTATTTTCCACGTTGCAGCTTAGCTGGTGTCCAGAAATTCACATTCTAGGATATAAATATTAGACAAATAAATTCTCACCTGATGTTCGGATCATCATAAGTTGAATAATTGTTTCCTGATGATTCATTCCACTTATTGTTATGACCGGTATACAGTATAAGAGGCGCAACCGGTCCAATAGTGGCTGAATAGGCCCGTTTAGTTATTGTTTATAATGAATTAATATTTACCTATTAGCTTGAGGGTTATTTCGTAAAAGGATATTTTAGAGTATAAATTATTGTAATTGGGATTATTGAGGATTAAGCAGAAACAATCTTAATTGTTTCCGGCTTCCCCCAGGGAGCCGGGATTTGCCCTAGCCGCCCCCTGTCATCTTCCTCGCCTACAACCTCGCGACGGCGCCCAGCCACCGCAGCAGCGCAGGAACGCGCCTGCTCCTCCTCCCTCACACCCATACAACTACACGAACGTCATTGGTAGGATCAGAATCCTATCAACCCGGTATCAACGATGTCGGGTTCTCCTCCACCTCCTCCGCCGCCCGCCCGTCCCAGTTTTCCCCAACCCCTCCGCCGCAGCGAGTTCTTCCTCCGCCGTGTCGGCGGTATCCTCTCGCGCCGCCTCCCGCGTCGGGGTGCCCGCCCCTCACGCCGGACTCCTCGCCGAGGTCGTCGCCGAGATGTCGGCGAATATGGCCGTGATGAACCGGAGTATCGCGGCGATGCAGGCCGCGTGGACGGGGCTCACGCAGCAACATCCTCCGCCAGCGTCATTGCCTCCACCGCCCCCGCCGCAACCAACCCTCCCCGCCCGCCGCCGCCATTACTGATCATTCCGCGGGGTGCCGCCGTGAGTCTCCGCCAGTGCTTCCGAGCACCGGACTCCCCCCACATGCTCTCCGTGGCCGCCGCCGTCACCAATCCCGTCATGGGCGATGGCGGGCTCCGCAGCCGCTCCGATCTACACCATGGCTACTTCCACGTCGACGGCGCCACCA